CTTCCTTCCTTCCTTCCTCCCACCCTCCTTCTTTCCCATCTTCCTCCTTCCCTCCTGTCTTCCTTCCTTCCTTTTTTCCTTCCCCCTCTTTTTTCCTCCCTCCTCTTCCCTCCGTCCCTCCTTCACATTCCCATCTCCCTTCCTTCCTTTTTCCTTCCTTCCTTCCTTCTTTCCTCACTCCCTCCCACCCTCCTTCTTTCCCATCTTCCTCGCTGCCTCCTTCCCTCCTGTCTTCCTTCCTTCCTTTTTTCCTTCCCCCTCTTTTTTCCTCCATCCTCTTCCCTCCGTCCCTCCTTCACATTCCCATCTCCCTTCCTTCCTTTTTCCTTCCTTCCTTCCTCCCTCCTTCCTTCCCTTGTCAGCCAGGAAGCGGGGGGAGAGGCGAGAGGCTGGCGGCGGTGCCGGTGCCGGTGGCTTTCCCACGCGGGGGCGGGGCGGGCGGGGCGACGGGAGGGGCGGTCAGGCTGGAAGGGAACCGCTGCGGGCTGCGGGGCCAGACCGGGCATCGGGCCATGGACGGGGCGGGCGCGGCGCTGCTGCTGGGGCTCTACGCGCTGGTCTACTACACCTTCGTGGCGGCCACCCGGTGCCGGAACACGGTCAGCCTGCGGGGCAAGACGGTGCTCATCACAGGTGGGCTGGGGGGGGGGGGGGGTGTCTCCTTTCTTTCTTTCTTTCTTTCTTTCTTTCTTTCTTTCTTTCTTTCTTTCTTTCTTTCTTTTTCTTTCTTTATCTCTTCCTCTTTTTTTCTTTCCTTCTCTCTCTCCTTCCTTCCTTCCTTCCTTCTTTCTTTCTCTTTCTTCTTCTTTTTTTCTCTCGCTCTCTCTTTCCCTCCCTCTCTTCCTTTCTCTCTCTTTCCTTCTCTTTTTCCTCTTTCTCTCTCTTTCTCTCCCTCTCTCCCTCTCTTTCTTTCTTTTTCTCTCTCTTTCTTTCTCTCTCTCTCTGTCTCTTTCTTTTTCTTTCTTTGTCTCTTTTTCCTCTTTTTTCTTTCCTTCTCTCTCCTTCCTTCCTTCTTTCTTTCTTTTTCTTCTTTCTCTCTCTCTCTAGCTCTCTCCTTCCCTCCCTCCCTCTCTTCCTTTCTCTCTTTCCCTCCCTCCCTCGCTCTCTCTCTCTCTCTCTCTCTCTAGCGCGCAGGACTGAACTCGCGGGGGGGGGGCAAAAGCGCAGCGCAGCGTCCGAGGGAGACGCGAGTCAACGCTAAACCAGGTTTGTCCGCGGAGATGCCGCCCACCCAGGTCCGGCTTGACCCAAAGGCCCTTTCGCCACAACCCAGGAAATGCGGGCAGAAAAAGGGGAAGAAACCGGGGCCGAACCGAACCGTCTTAATTCTGATCCTGTGACCGCGAAGAGGCTGCGAGAGTTGTAACTGGGAGGACTGGTTGTAATGGAAGTCAAAGCCTGGAACTAAGGAGGAATTTTCCGACAGGGAGAACAATCCACTCGTGGGGCAGAAGTTATCCTTGAAGTTGTGGGAGCTTCATCATCCCTGGAGGCTTCCAAGAAGAGGCTGGACGGCCATTGGTCCGAAATGCTTTAGGGTCTCCTGCTTGGGCAGGGTGGGGGGGGGTTGGGCTAGATGACCTCTGAAGTCCCTTCCAGATCTGTTCATCTGTCTGTCCCCGGGGCTGTCACGGACCCCCAGCCGGGAAGAAAGGACGGGGAGCAGAACAGCAGTGGGGAAAGGGCTGGGCTGGGCCGGGGGAAACTGGACCAGCCTTGGGAAATGTGGAAGGATGAACAGAGTCCTAGTTGGAAGGCCCCGTTGGAGGTCTTCTCGTAGTCCAACCCCCTCCTCAAGTAGGAGACTAGTCTATCCCTTTCCGGTTTGTCCAATCTCTTCTTAAAAGCCTCCAGGGTTGGGAGCCCCCACAACTTCTGGTGGCAAGCAGTTCCACTGGTTAATTGTTGGAAAGTTTCTCCTTCATTCCAGGTTGCTTTTCTTCTTGATGAGTTTCCAACCATTTTCCTTCCCTTCCTTCCTTCCTTCCTTCCTTCCTTTCTTCCTTCCTTCCTTCCTTCCTTCCTCTCTCCTCTTTGTCTCTTTCTCATCTTCCTTTCTTCTTCCCTCCCTCTCCTTCCTTCCTTCTATAGAATAATCAAGTTGGAAAGGATCTTGGAGGTCATCTAGTCCAGCCCCCTGCTCAAGCCGGAGACCCGATCCCATTCCAGACAATTGCCTTTCCAATCTCTTCTTAAAAGCCTCCAGTGTTGGAGCAACTGCAATTTCTGGTGGCCAGCAGTTCCACGGTTGTTGTTTTTTCCAAAATTTTATTAATTTTAAACAAACATACACAAACAAAACACAAAACATGAAAACATAAAATTTGTTTTTGGAAAGCAGCTTAGTCCCGGAGTTACATCTTTTTGTACAGACATAAATTCGAATTCATGCTCACTTTTATATACCATTTCATGTCTTATTTACCATTCTACATTTTCTATATTAGCTTCTCCCCTCTTTTCACTCTCTTAATTCTATTTTATTTATTTCATCTCAATTTAAATCATTATACTTATATCTTTTGTCTGTTCTGTTTCAACTATCTGTTATCTTTTCTCATTAACACAAAATTTCTCCTGTAATCACTGATTGGAGTATGACGCCTTTATATCTTTCCCCTAAATTTAACACTTAAAGTAATACATAATTTTCATTCAGATTCTGCTTAGTACATTCTAAAGCTATGTACTATATTTTAAAATAAGAAAAAATAATAAGTTTATAATATAACTAAAACAATAATCCATAGCAATTAAACTCTATGGTTAAAATTAATATTCATTTAAACATTTTACACATTCCTTTTAATATTTTATCCCATTTTATAGTCCTATAATGTTCCAATTTTCTAATATTGTTTCAAATACAAATACAATAATACAGTCTTATGTACTTTTGCAGAATCTCTTTTTTAGTTATATTTTTACCCATTATCTCTAAATAAATCCTGTTTCTTTACATCTTGTTTCGAGCCTTTATAGCTTTTCTTCCCTTTTTTTCCTTCCTTGCTTCTCCAGTCTAGCCTTTTTACCCCCTTGTTTCTTGATTTCCACCCTCTTCTGTATTCCTCTTTTCTGTTGCCTTCTAACGTTGTATCGACTTTTCACCTTATTTTTCCCTTTTTGGGTTGCTTTTTTAAGTCTTAAATTCTCCATTCTCCTTCCCCCCTCTGCCTCTTCCTCCCCAGTTAAAGTTGCTTGTTCATTAAAGATGGCTTCTTCTTCATCCCAATCCTCTTGTTCTTGTAGTTTCTCATAAGTAGAAATTGCCATTTCTAAGAAATGGAAAACGGAGCTGAAAGAGCCCTTCCCTTCTTGTTCCTCTTCTTTATACTTTTTAAATTCCATTTTCAGTTCATCGACAAGTAATGGCATTGTAGAAAATTTTTTAAACAACCCAAATGTTTTTAATTTTTCAAATAGTAATTTCCAAAAGTCCCAAAGTCACCAAGCAATCCAAATACACACAGACTGTTTCATTTAACACTTTCTTCTTTTTACACTTTCTCTTTCTGGGGTTACAATTCAGTTGCAAAGTTCCAATTCAAATGTATCTTTTAGAAGTCTTGTTACAATTTAGCTCTAGTCTTGTAAATTCCAAGCAGCCTCCTCCAGCAAAATCTTAATATAAACTTTCCCTTTTCACTTTCATTCGCTGCTTTTCCAGATCTCTTTGGGAGCGATGTATCTTTGATGAAATTTAAATTCCAGGGTATTTTAAATGTTGCTTGCTATCCCGGTCAGCCAAAACTTTCACTTTCTCAGCTTCCTCCTGCACATTCTTATCCGGGTGAGAGCTTCTTTGTGGCAGCCATTGCTGACTGCCGCTCCACTGCTTTCGGAAAAGGGAGTTAAGCCAGCTGAGGAGGGGGGGGATTGCGATTCCCCCAGACCCCTGCCGGATCTCCCCTATCTTCAGTTACCTCTACGGGGTAACTATAGCCCCAAATCCAGCTGGATCGGGGCACTCCAGCGGCGAGCGCAGCAGAAACCGCGCATGATCACGGATTCCTGCCGCCACCAAAGCCCTGCAAACCGGAAGTCCGAGAAAGCTACTCAGGAGTTCCACTGGTTGATTGTCCTTACATTCAGGAAATTCCTTCTTCATTCCAGGTTGCTTCTCTCCTTGGTCACTTTCCATCCGTTGTAGCTGCTCTCTCCTACGAGCAATCCTGTGTGCGCGCACACTTGGCACAGGCTCCTCAGGAACCTCCTCATCGCTGCTGCCAGTCCCCCCAATCTCTGAAGGCAGCAGTCCACTCCCTGATGGTCCTGGCCCCTCATCTGAATCCTCGTTGTCCTCAGCCGTCCGCGCCTGCTGCCAGCTAACCACAACAGAAACTTCTTAACAGTGAGCAAAATGAACCAGTGGAACATCTGGACCCCAGAAGTTGTAGGCGCCCCATCACTGGAGGTTTTTAAGAAGAGGCTGGACAACCGCTGGTCTGAAATGCTTGAGCAGAGGGCTGGATTAGAAGACCTCCAAAGTCTCTTCCAGCTCTATTCAGATTCTGATCCTTTGCCTGGGAGTCACCTTACGGCAGGGGGTCTCCAACCTTGGCCACTTTAAGACTTGGGGACTTCTTTCTGCCTCTTCCTTCCGGAGCTGTCACAGCTTCAGCAGCTTAAAGGCTGCCTCTCCGCCGATGGTAAAAGGGCTTCTTCTGGATCAGCCAGGGACTTTGCGATGTCCCTGGGATCAGCAGAACGCGCCCCTTACTATCACCGTCTCTACGAGTTTTAGGAGTAGTTTGTCGTGTACCACTGAATCAAAGGCTTTACAGAAGTCTATGTAGATTGCGTCTATTGCTTTGCCCTGGTCGAGTTGTGTAGTCCATGTTTTTGCAGTGTAAGAGTTGCAGATTACAGGATAGTTTTTTCCTGAAACCAAATTGTTTATTGGAGAGTAGGTTGTTTGTCTCTAAGTGGAGGATAATGGATTGGTTAATAACTGATTCCATGACTTTACTGGTGACGCAGCATAAGGAGATTGGTCTGTAATTTTCAACTAGGCTGGGGTCTCCCTTTTTGAAGATGGGGATGACCGTGGCTTGTGACCATAGGTTACGCAAGGAGCTGGTCCTGAAGGATTTTTCAAAGATTATGCTTAGAGGTTCAGCTATGGCAGTGGATAGCTTTTTAAAGAAGTAGGCACATATTCCGTCCGGTCCAATAGATAGAGATGGTTTTAGATTGTGTAGTGCTTTTTCAAGATTGTCTTCTGTAAAATCGATATGTATGAGATCATTGTAGTTGTCTGTGGTTTGGCTAGGAAATACTGGGCATGATCTATTGCTGTTTACAAATACTGAGCCAAAGAATGTGTTAAAGATGTTGGCTTTAATGGTGTCGTCATTGCAGTCTTTACCATTAGGTCCTTTCAGGGGTGGGATGGACTTTGAGTCTTTTAGTTTGTTGTTTACAAAATTGTAAAAAGCGCGGGTGGAATTGGTGTGTAGAAGGTTTTCCTCTTGTTTAATGTGATAATTGGTGCATTCAGTCTTTATCTGGTGGCATAAATTTTTGTATTGGCTTTTGAAATTGGCAACGTGACCAGATATGCTTTTCCGCCAGAGTGATCTCTTTTTGGATTGACGCTTCCTTATTGTTATGGGTAATTGTTTTTTTTGTTTTGTTCTGGGAGTTATTATTGGTACATATAGGTTGATGCCTCTTTTGACCTCAAGTAAAAATATGTTGTAATAGTCTTCAACAGTATTGCATCCAGTGAATAGAGATTGCCAATCAAGGGATGAGAGATCGTTGTCTATAAGATCATAGTTGCCTTTTTTGAAGTTATAATTGGGGATTACGTCATTGTGATGATTTTTGTGTGGGCGTATATTGAGACAAAAGTCAATCATATTGTGGTCACTGCTGGAAAAGGGTTCTTTAGTTTGTATTCCGTAAATTAAATTCAAACTATTGCAGAAGATGAGATCGAGGCAGTTGTTTAGTCTAGTGTTGTTGGATACTAGTTGTTCCAGTCCCAGATTTGTAACAGCATTGTAGAAGGTTGCGTGTATGGGTTCAGTTGTACCTTCATTTAAGGTCCAGTCAATATGAGGTAGATTGAAATCACCAAGAAAGATAAAAGTGTGTGGGCAGGATGCTGCCCATGTTAGTAGTGTATTTAGCTTGTTTACATGTTCGATGTCATAATCAAGGGCTCTGTAACGTAGTAAGAATCGAAATGTGATATTTAAGGATAGTTCACAGATGATGGTCTCAGGAAGAGCAAGCTCCTGGGTAACTTGGATATTTTTTAGATGTAGGGACTTTTTATAGAAGATCGCAACACCACCTCCTCTACGGATTTCACGATCTGATCGGTAAACATGATAGTCTCTTACTGTGGTAATGGAGTCAGGGAGAGATGCGTTGAGCCACGTTTCACAGACAAATATGATGTCGAATTTAGCCATATTTAGTAAGAGGAGAAATTCAGGTATTTTATTCGCGAGGCTTCTTGCATTGAGTAGCTTGCATTTAAGGCCAGCAGTAGTTGGGACTGAGGTAGTTAGGGGCGTGCGTGCCTAGTCTTTGGTGATGGTGGATTGGTTGAGGTAGGGTTATGGTTGAAGGTTAAAGCTGAGTTGCGGGTTGTGTGACTTACTTTTGATACAGTCAGCATGGTAGTCAATGTACAGGTCCTCCTCTCCATTGTCCAGACGTTTTTTGAGTTCAGTGCAGAGTACACGGGAGCGGGCACGTTGCTGTATGGTTAGGTCAGGGTGACAACGGAGGTTCTTATGGTTGGTGTTGGTTTTGGCGAGTGACAAATAACAATCAGAAATGTGAAAATAAGTCATTTGTTTATTGCCCTGGTAATTCTGAACAGTCATTAAATGAATTGTTGTAATAACAACTTGTATTAATCTCTGTATAATTTTAAACCATTGTTCTTTGTTGATGTAAGACTTCTTTGAAAAGGTTGAGAAAATCATGCCCTGAGGCAGGATTTCTCAATTTGTGCAATTCAAAGGTGTTGCTTAACTTTTAATTCTGGGAGTTGCCCCGGTTGAGAAACGCTGCCAAAGAAATGCTTCACTGCGTGACACCACAAAAACTGCAATCGCACAAATGTAGCCCCAGCTGCTGGGTTCCCCATCAATGCCTGGGCAATCTCGGTGAATCCTTTCTCTGGCTTTTCCTAGATGGAAATTCTGGGATTGGGAAGGCCACAGCAGTGGATCTGGCCCGGAGAGGCGCCCGTGTCATTCTGGGATGCTGCAACAAAGCGAGAGGAGAATCAGCCGTGTACGACATCCGACAGGTAAGCGCCTGCTGTGCGGTTCTCTCCTTCCCTCCATTCTTCTGACATTCCTGATGGTTTTTATTCATTTATTTAGCGTGTGGCAACTGCAGAGATCATGTGATCCCTGATACGCAACACAGATAAAACACACTCTACGTGCACGTGGAAATCTGTGTTTAAATGAAGCATCAACAAATACAATAGCAAATAGGTGGACAGTACAAGGGTTAAAACTTTAACTTACAGTAAAACCATGATAAAAATATCACCATAATATCTCAATAGATCCATGATGGCGAATCTATGGCACGCAGAGCCATTTCTGCCGGCATGGGAGAGGTCACTGTTCTGTATTCTGTACAATGGTAGATTTTGTCTTGTGTACAGATGCAGATAGGTAAACTCAACAAAACATTCGTACAGAGTCTTTATTATTGGCTCATCAGGTATCCTCATAACTCACATTTGTGATGAAGTTCTTCTTTAATGTCCAATCCTTTGCATATCTGTCTTGTAAGTAAAAAGATGGTTATCTCCTTCTCCCTTTCCTCCCATCTTGTAGCGGTAGAAGCAGAGCAGCTACCAGGAATCCATGAGTTCAGGCAAGAATGAAGAAACCTCCCCCAACCCATCGAGGGTCAATGGAGTGACCAATCAGGATTACAGATGTGGTCACATGACATGGACAACATGTCCCAGGATACCTTAACCACATTTACCATGAGGCATTCCTTTAAGGGCAGTGGCCCCCAACCTTTTTTGTGCCGTGGCCCAGTACCGGCATCACAAAATCATCCACGGCCCAGTACTGGCATCAGCATGCATGGCAAGGTGAACCAAGCAACCGGCCAGCCAGCCATCCCCCGCTTCTCCCCGCCACCTTCAACTCCTCCTTTGGTGTTGATGGGCTTCCCGACGGCTTCGCGACAGTTGCTCGGCTCGCCATGCCATGCGTGCTGAAAGAATCCTCGCGCCTTAGTTTTGTTCGAAGCCGCCCCCTTTCAATGAAACTAAGGCACGAGGATTCTTTCAGCACCCAAACGCCGCTTTCTACCCGGAAAAGCTCACCGGAAGCACTTTTTCATCAAAACAGGATGGCGGATTGTGGATTGGTCGTAAATCACTTTGATTCATCCCTAAACAAATGGTTATAGGTCAAGAACTGCCTGTATTGTTTTATTATGCACTGGAATCTGTCTTTGAAGCCGCACCGGATCCCGAAGCTCACGATTCCTCCCGCTCCTTTTCCAGGAAAGCGGGAACTCGGAGGTGATCCTGATGATCCTGGATCTGGCCAGCCTGAACTCCGTGCGAGCTTTTGCACAGACCTTCTTAGCATCGGAGCCCCGTCTGGACATCCTCATCAACAACGCAGGTGGGGCCAG